GCACTCCCAGGACATAAGCCTATGAAAGACAGGCTTACTCTTCTCATGTGTGCCAATGCTAGTGGTGATTGCAAAGTGAAGCCTTTATTAGTGTATCACTCTGAAACTCCCAGAGCGTTCAGGCAAAAGAATATCCTCAAGGCTAATTTGTGTGTGCTGTGGAGGGCAAACAGTAAGGCATGGGTGACTAGGGACTTTTTCTATGACTGGTTACACCAAGCATTTGCCCCCAATGTGAAAAATTACCTAACTGAAAAGAAATTAGACCTTAAGTGCCTCCTGGTGTTAGACAATGCCCCTGGTCATCCTACAGACTTGGCAGAGCGACTTTGTGGGGACATGAGCTTCATTAAATTCAAGTTTTTGCCTCCTAATACCACTCCTCTCCTGCAGCCCATGGACCAGCAGGTTATTGCAAACTTCAAAAAATTGTACACAAAAGCTCTGTTTGAAAGGTGCTTTGTAGTGACCTCAGAAACTCAATTGACTCTAAGAGAGTTTTGGAGAGAGCACTTTAATATCCTCAATTGTGTAAACCTTATAGGTAAGGCTTGGGAGGGAGTGACTAAGAGGACCTTGAACTCTGCTTGGAAGAAACTGTGGCCAGAATGTGTAGACCTAAGGGATTTTGAAGGGTTTGAGGCTAACCCTGGGAATCCTATGCCAGTTGAGGAATCCATTGTGGCATTGGGAAAGTCCTTGGGGTTGGAGGTTAGTGGGGATGATGTGGAAGAGTTGGTGGAGGAGGACAATGAAGAACTAACCACTGATAAGCTGCTAGATCATCTTCATCAGCATGAGGCCACACCTGAGGAAACTGCTTCGGAGGAGGGGAGAGAGAAATTGAAGAAGTTGCCTACTTCAAAGATGAAGGAAATCTGTGCAATGTGGCTTGAAGTGCAAACCTTTATGGATGAAAATCACCCTCAGACAGCTGTTGCAAGCCGTGCTGGTGACTATTACACTGACAATGTTGTGAACCACTTTAGGAAAGTCATAAAGGAACGAGAGGTACAGACCTCTATGGACAGATATGTTGTGCGACAGAAGTCCAGTGACTCTGAAGCTGGTCCTAGTGGCATTAAAAGAAGAAGGGAAGTAACCCCAGAAAAGGACTTGACACCTCAAGTCCTAATGGAAGGGGATTCCCCTTCTAAACACTAAGACCATCAACACTCCCCCCTCCTACCATCCCATCAATCATCACCATATCTTCAATAAAGGTAAGTGTCATGTAACTGTGCATGTCTTCTTCAGTTTGTGTGTATTAAAATTAATATTTCATGTGGTAAAAAAAATTTTTTTTCATACTTTTGGGTGTCAGGAACGGATTAATTTGATTTCCATTATTTCTTATGGGGAAAATTCATTCGCATAACGATAATTTTGCATAACATTGAGCTCTCAGGAACAGATTAATAGCGCTTTGCGAGGGTCCACTGTACTGTCATTACACCCTACATCATATCTTGTATACTTATTTATCCTTTTTTTCTTAAAATATGTATTATCTATAAAAAAAAACCTGTCTATACAAAGTTCAATCAAAGGGCCCCCATTATCATTTACACCTGACACCCCAAAACTTACCGGCCACACACTCTAAATGTTTCTCCTACTTGGGCATTTAGGTCCCCAACCAAATTACTCTCTCACTTGGTTCATAAGTTCCTACACACTTGCCTAACATCTCCCAAAATTTCTCTCTTTTCTACACTCCTCTCTTCTCCAGGTGCATACACACTATGACCCACTTATCACATCCGACCCTTATTTTAATCCACACAATCCTTGAATTTATACATATTCTCTCTTCTCCTTCTGTAACTGATCCTTCAACATTTTTGCTACCCCTTCCTTAGCTCTAACTATGTCAGATACTCTTGACTAAATCTCAGTTATTTCTCCCCACCGAAACTCACCTACCCCCTTCAGCTTTGTTTTGATTAGAGCTAGGACATCCAACTTCTTTTCATTCATAACATTAGCAATCATCTCTTTCTTATCATCCACACTACATCTATGCACGTTCAAGCATCCCAGTACAGTGGACCCTCATTTTTTGTGATTAATCCGTTCCAGAGAGTCTGCTGAAAGTCAAAATTCATGAATGGCAAAAAAGTTTTCCCCATAAGAAATAATGGAAATACAATTAATCCGTTCCAGACACTCAAAAATATTAAAAAAATAAATATTTTTTCCAAATTAAATAAAGATTTACATACAGAAAACAATGAGAAATCAAGTATATGCATATATAAAATACTAACATTACACTTACCTTTATTGAAGACTTCTGGGTGGATGGAAGACGGAAGGAGGGGAGAGGATGAAGGTACACTATTGTTTGGAAGGGGAATCCCCTTCCATAAAGACTTCAGGTACCAAGTCCTGGAGTTACTTCCCTTCTTTGTTTTTTAATGGCACTGGGACCAGCTTGAGAGTCACTCGACCCCTGTCGCACAAAATACCTGTCCAGAGAGCTCTGTTTCTGGCGATTTTTTTTTTTTTAAACATCCCTAAAATGGGACACAACATTGTCACTGTACATGTTGCCAATACAGCCTGCAACAGCTCTGTCAGGGTGAAGTTCATCCATAAATGTTTGCACCTTTGTCCACATTGCACAAATGTCCTTAATCATTGAAGAAAGCACTTTTCTCCATCTCCCTTCCTCCTTCTCTGAAACAATTTCCTGAGCTGTGGTCTGTTGCTGTTGCAGATGAAGGTCTTGTAGCTCTGTGGTGGTTAGCTCTTCATCGTGGTTCTCCACCAACTCTTCCACATCCTCAAAACTCACATCCAACCCCATGGAATTCCCCATTGCCACAAACTTTCCACAACTGGCATAGGCTCTTCAGGGTTAGCCCCAAACCCTTCAAAATCCCTCTCTTGTACACATTGTGGCCACAATTTTCTCCAAGCAGAGTTCAAGGTCCGGAAGTCACTCCCTCTCAACCTTACCTATAAGGTTTATGCAATGGAGGATATTGAAGTGATCTTTCCAGAACTCTTAGGGTCAATTCAGTGTCTGAGGTCACTTCAAAGCACTGTTGAAACACTGCTTTGGTGTACAGTTTTTTGAGGTATGAAATGACCTGCTGGTCCATGAGCTGGAGGTGAGGAGTGGTATTAGGGGGCAAGAACTTCACTGTGATGAAATGAAACTCCTGTACCATTTGCTCTTCTAAATCTGGAGGATGAGCAGGGGAGGAGCAATGTCCATTACCAGGAGGCACTTGAGTTCCAATTTATTTTCCAGGAGGTATTTCTTCACACTGGGGCCAAACACTCCATTGAACCAATCAAGGAAGATGCCCCTTGTGACCCATGCCTTACTGTTAGCCTTCCACATCACACACAAATTAGCCTTGGTGACACTGTTTTTCTTGAACACTCTGGGATTTTCAGAGTGATACACCAGTAAAGGCTTCACTTTGAAATCCCCACTAGTATTACCACAAAACACGAGAGTTAGCCTGTCTTTCATAGGCTTGTGTCCTGGCAGTGCCGTTTCCTCCTGCGTGATGTAGGTCTTCTTTGGCATTTTCTTCCAAAACAGGCCTGTTTCGTCACAACTGCACACTTGTTGGGGTTTGAATTGTTCAGTCTCTATGTACCCCTTGAACTCCTGAACATATTTTTCAGCCACTTTTTTGTCAGCACTTGCAGCCTTGCCATGCCTTACCACAGTGTATGCCAGTACACTTCTTAAATCTCTCAAACCATCAGCACTCGTTGCAGGCATTTTCTTCATGAGATCATGCAACTGCCCTGCCTTTTCACAAATTATCAACTGCATAACACTATCTCTTGCTAACTGTTTTTGGGTAATCCACACCAACAATAACCTCTCCACTTCTTCGAGGATTTATGATCCCTTTTTTATCAGCATATCTACCCCCTTTTACAACAACAGCTTCCTTGATTTCCTTTCCCTTCGCCATGATCGAAGTGATGGTTGAATGGGATTTGCCATACATCCTGGCAAGCTCTGAAACACACACTCCACTTTTGTATTTTTTAATGACTTTTTTCTTTAATTCGATCGTGTTTCTCACTTTCTTTATCGAACGGCTGGCACTAGCTTTCTTTGGGCCACATGGTTACTTATTTAGCAGTTGGAAGCACAAAAAAGAATGGAATATTATGAAATGTATCGTATGAATGCGGGCGGTGGTCACTCGCTGATAAACAATGGCACACTGAGTGTGAATGGTGCGAGAGACTGGCTTTGTGTGCACGCTGACGCTGGATGTGTTCCAGACGGTCACAGAAGCATGAGGTCAATCACACACCATAAGGCTATATTATACCGAAAAAAGTTGCCGAAAGTCGGATTTCACGAAAGCTGCGGCCACCAAAATACAGGGGTTCACTGTATTATTAGTAGTAAAAATTTTAGCAATAGTAGTGGTGGTAAGTTACATCCCAAGGCAGTGGAGAAGCAGGTGACTCCAAAGTACAAGTTATTTGTGAATTGATCCAGCCGCAGTATTGTGGCTTTTATTCTTCAATAAACTTAAGTCACCTAACAACGGCTGGAGATTATATTGCTAACCTTAGTCAGATTGGCATTTCTCAAGTTTCCTAAATAATATGTACTCCTATTAACATTTAAAATTTAAATATTCTTAAGAGAACATGTTAAGAAATTTATTATTTTTAATATTCTTTGAAATTCTGAATTTTCTGACAAAAATTCTGAATTTCAAATTTGGAGAATCCCTCTAACTTTATTATCAAAATAAAATAAAACTTTCTGATTACTACTATAGTAAAGCATTCAGAATGGTCTATAATTCCATAACTTATATTTAATAATAGAGTACTAAATGTATTTGTTTCAATAATAATATCTGACAGTTTGTTTACACATGGTACATTCAAGATTAAAAAAAAGAAAATGAAATGTCTGAGGAAAGATTCTGTATGTGGGTAAACCTCCAATCCAAAAATAGAAACATAGCCTAAGAATAATATATACTGTATGGACATACCTTGTAAAACAGCTTCAAAGTCACATGCAGATGCTGGTTCTTCCACAGAGGATATTGTTATACCAGAGAATCTATCTCGGATTCCCTAAGAAAGAATATTATCAATAGATTTTTCAATAGAATAAGTATAATAAACAACTGTGATGATTTATAAAAATGCAATAAATTATTTAAAAAGATGTTCCACAAAAGATAAAGCTATTGCAATAAAAACATCCAACATGGGAGAACAAATTTAACATCACTTTCCCCAGGCAAGGAAAACTTATTCAGAAGATTTGAAAATAAATTCACAACCCAGATAACCTTCAAAACATGACAGTCATTTCTATAATGAAACTGAAGAAGAAATGAATCTCAATTCATTTGCTGTATAGTAAATAAAAAAAGTCAATTGAAAAACTTGTTTTAATACAGAAAACAAAGTAATATTTTTTTTTATCAACACATCAACCATTTCCAACCAGGGCAGGGTGACCCAAAAAAGAATAAACACTTTCACCATCACTTACTCCAACACTGTCTTGCCAGAGGCATGCCGACACTACAGTTAAAAAACTAGCATATCTCCACCCCTCCTTCAGAGTGCAGGCAATGTACTTCCCACCTCCAGAGCTTAAGTCCAGCCTAACAGGTTTTCCAGAATCCCTTCATAAATGTTACTTTACTCACACTCCAACAGCATGTCAAGTCATAAAAGCCATTTGCTTCCACTGGCTCCTATCTAACTCCCTCACACATGCTTGCTGCTACCAAGTACTCAACTCAGTGACGTACGTATCTATCAAAACTGATCTCTATTAAACATCAGTGAAATGGAAAGCAAAACATCTATATCAATGATTGTCTTACAAGAAAAGGCAATAGGACATGTTCTATAAGTTAAGGAAACTAAATACAGCAGGGCCCCACTTTACGGCGTTTTGCCATATGGTGTTCCGCTAATACGGCAATTTCAAATTATGACCAAAACTTCATATACGGTGAGCGGTCTTTCTACTACAGCGTGCCCCACCCAGTTTGTTTACATTCTCCATAAGCACATCTCTCTATTATGTCTGGAAGCTTTTCAAAATTTCAAGTGTTTTAAAGTTACTGCATACTTTATATGTACTCTGATAATTAAATTCATGTGTACCTGTACCTAAATATACTTACACACTGTGCTGGCATGCTGGTACACATTAAAATCACCAAGTCTCTCTCTCTACTTTTGACACCAAATTAATAATACCTCTTGGGCGTATTAACCCTTTGATTGTTTTGGCCGTATATATACGTCTTACGAGGTACCGTGTCTGACGTACAGTGGAACCTCAAATTTCGAACTTAATCCATTCCAGGAGCTAGTTCTAAATTCGAAATGTCTGAAATTCGAAGCAATATTTCCCATAAGAAATAATGGAAATACAATTAATCCGTTCCAGAAACCCAAAAATATTCACAAAAAAAATACATTTTATAGAGATTAATTACAGTTTTACATACACACAACAAATGCCATAGTCTTTAATTATGTATAGTAATATAAAATAACATTTTTACTTACCTTTATTGAAGATTGGTGATGGCATCTGGAAGACAGGGAGGAGGAGAGAGGGAGTTGGGGTTATTGTTTGGAAGGAGAATCCCCCTCCATGAGGACTTCTGGTATCAAAGCCCTCTCTGGGGTTGCTTCCCTTCTCTGCATTTTAATGCCACTAGGACCAGATTAAGAGAGTCATTGGACCCCAGTCGCACAAAATAACTGTCCACAGTCGTCTGTTTCTGTCTCACAAAATAACTGTCCACAGTCTGTTTCTGTCTCACAAAAAAACTGTCCACAATCGTCTGTTTGTCTCACAAAATAACTCCACAGTCGTCTGTTTCTGTCTCGCAAAATAACTCCACAGTCGTCTGTTTCTGTCTCACAAAATAACTGTCCACAGTCGTCTGTTTCTGTCTCACAAAATAACTGTCCACAATCGTCTGTTTGTCTCACAAAATAACTCCACAGTCGTCTGTTTCTGTCTCACAAAATAACTGTCCACAGTCTGTTTGTCTCACAAAATAACTCCACAGTTGTCTGTTTCTGTCTCACAAAATAACTCCACAGTCATCTGTTTCAGTCTCACAAAATAACTGTCCACAGTCGTCTGTTTCTGTCTCACAAAATAACTGTACACAATCATCTGTCTCACAAAATAACTCCACAATCGTCTGTTTCTGTCTCACAAAATAACTGTCCACAGTCGTCTGTTTCTGCCTCACAAAATAACTGTCCACAGTCATCTGTTTCTGTCTCACAAAATAACTGTCCACAGTCCTCTGTACATCCTGGCAAGCTCAACAAGTCTCACTCCAATCTCATACTTCTGTATTATTTCTTCACATCTATGGTGTTTCTCACTTTCTTTACCACAGGGGTACCGCTAACAAGTTTCTTTGGGCCCATGGCAGCTTATTTCACAGCCCCACAAGCACTAAACACAATTAAATAATCATAAAATGTGTGAATGAGATCGCAGGTTAGTGTTCACTCAAGCATAAACAAAGCTAGACTGCTCACGGCGCCTGCACGGGGACACGGACAGAGCAGGCCAGCAGACAGGTCCCGTACCCGGCGGTCCGAAAATAGGGGCGCGTTCGATAATAGGGACACAGTTTGTCCGAAAAAATGGTCTTATTTTCGAAATTTTTCAACGTGATACGTTCGATTTTTGAGGTTCCACTGTATATATACAGTGGACCCCCGCATACCGTTGGCATCACATAATGTTAAATCCGCATACCGATACATTTTATCGCTAAGATTTTGCCTCGCATACTGCTAAAAAAGCCGCTCAACGCTATTCGTCCGAGACGCGTCTAATGTGTGGCCTGAGCCAGCCTCACATGTTCCGCCGGTGGCATTGTTTACAAGCCAACCTCCACGGTAACATCCAAGCATACAATCGGAACATTTCGTATTATTACAGCGTTTTTGGTGATTTTATCTGCAAAATAAGTGACCATGGGCCCCAAGAAAGCTTCTAGTGCCAACCCTGTGGTAAAAAGGGTGAGAAATATTATCGAAATACTGTGGTACCATGGTCAACTGCTGATGCTGCTGCTGCTGTAGTACTGTCAGCTGCTGCTGCTGCACTGTCAGCTGCTGCTACTGCTGCTGCTGTGCTGTCAGCTGCTGCTGCTGCTGCACTGTCAGCTGCTGCTGCTGCTGCTGTAGCACTGTCAGCTGCTGCTGCTGCTGCTGTAGCACTGTCAGCTGCTGCTGCTGCTGCTGCTGTAGCACCGTCAGCTGCTGCTGCTGTACCACCATCAGCTGCTGCTGCTGCTGCTGTACCACCGTCAGCTGCTGCTGCTGCTGTAGTACCATCTGCTGCTGCTGTAGCACCATCTGCTGCTGCTGTAGCACTGTCAGCTGCTGCTGCTGCTGCACTGTCAGCTGCTGCTGCTGCTGCTGTAGCACTGTCAGCTGCTGCTGCTGCTGTAGCACCGTCAGCTGCTGCTGCTGTACCACCGTCAGCTGCTGCTGCTGCTGTACCACCGTCAGCTGCTGCTGCTGCTGTAGTACCATCTGCTGCTGCTGTAGCACCATCTGCTGCTGCTGTAGCACTGTCAGCTGCTGCTGTAGCACAGTCAGCTGCTGCTGCTGTAGCACTGTCAGCTGCTGCTGCTGCTCCTGCTGTAGCACCGTCAGCTGCTGCTGCTGCTGTACCACCGTCAGCTGCTGCTGCTGCTGTAGTACCGTCTGCTGCTGCTGAAGCACCGTCTGCTGCTGCTGTAGCACTGTCAGCTGCTGCTGTAGCACTGTCAGCTGCTGCTGCTGTAGCACTGTCAGCTGCTGCTGCTGTAGCACTGTCAGCTGCTGCTGCTGCTGTAGCACTGTCAGCTGCTGCTGCTGCTGCTGTAGCACCATTGTTGGTGTGGCTTATTGAGAATACCAAGAAACAATTAACCCCAGAGGGTTAGCCACCCAGGATAACCCAAAAAAGTCAGTGTCATCGAAGACTGTCTAACTTATTTCCATTGGGGTCCTTAATCTTGTCTCCCAGGATGCAACCCACACCAGTCGACTAACACCCAGGTGAACAGGGAAAAATGCCTGGAACTAGTGCTCATATTGGTGAACTTAAAGCCAGCAAAGGTTGATTTGAGAGATTTAAGAATCTTAGTGGCATACACAGTGTGATAAGGCCTGTTCTGGAAGAAAATGCCAAACAGGACCTACAGTACTCAGGAGGAAAAGGCACTCCCAGGACACAGTGTCTCATCAGTCATTGCTGCATCTTCAATAAAGGTAAGTGTCATTTATTCTTCATTTAGTAGAGTACTACATGCACAATATATATTGTGCATGTACTACTCTCCTATTGTGCATGTATCCTTCTCTTTGTGTGTAGGAAAATGTATATTTCATGTGGTAAAATTTTTTTTTTCATACTTTTGGGTGTCTTGCACGGATTAATTTGATTTCCATTATTTCTTATGGGGAAAATTCATTCGCATAACGATAATTTCACATAACAATGAGCTCTCAGGAACGGATTAATATCGTTACGCGGGGATCCACTGTACTCATAAATTCTAGCGGCTTCAAATCAAGCAGGAGAAAGCTGGTAGGCCCACATGTGAGAGAATGAGTTTGTGTGGTCAGTGTGTACCATATAAAAAAAATCCTGGCGTACGCAGTGCATAATGAGAAAAAAAAAACTCCGACCGTTTTTTTTAATTAAAATGCTGACTGTGGTCTATTTTCATATAGTATTTATGGTTGTATTCTCATTTTCTTGATCTCATTTGATAGAATGGAAAACATATTATAGAAAAAGAGGTGCTTTTGATTGATTTTACTATAAAAAGAACCTGGAAATGGAGCTCAAAGTATGGGAAATGTTTGATTTTTGCCGATGTTCAAAAGTAAACAAATGATGTCATTTATTTATTTATTTATTTAGTAATTTTAGCATACATACAGAGGTACAAAAAAATACAGGTAAGAGCAGCATGCCAAAGCCACTTATATGCATAGCATTAAGGGCTGGCTTAAAATTAACTTAAGATTAACTAAGCAATGATGTAATCAGTAATAAAACATTATTGTAA